GCGTGGTAGAACATAAGCATGTTCAAGCTCTTACCAATCGTCTAGGCTTTGGAGATAGGGCCAAGGAGATTCAGGGCAAGAAGAAGCAGGCAGCCAAGGCAACAGCTAAGACAACATCAACGACTAAGTCTGAAGCGAAAGCAGCATCTTCGTCAAGAGCTGAGGTAAAGCCAGCATCTACACCCAGAACCGAGGCCAAGCCGTCGTCAGCACCAAGTGAGGAGCCAAAACCTTCAACAGCACCTAAGAGTTTCGGGCCCTCATCAGCAGAGGAGAACAAGGCGAAGGCTGCTCCAAAAGCCAGACCACTTGATAAATCACCATCCAGTGCTACCGATGTGTTTGAGCAAGCTTTGCAGGAAGATCTTGCCGCCAACGCACATGCAGCAGAAGGTACAACTTCTTCATCAACCCGAGGACATTCCAAAGGAGGAGGCCAATCTGGAACATCTTGGAGGCCGGCACTAACGCAAGAACGTCGCGAAGTACCTCAACCTTCTGAAAAGGGGAAGGGAAAGAGCAAGTCCAAGGGAAAGTCCAAGAAGGGAGAAGATGATCGGTGGGATGCTCAGGGCAGCTGGGATCATCGTGGATGGAGAGGTTATCGCCAGTGGTGATTTCTTTGAACGACTATGAGGATACCATGCAAACCAGGGAGGAAGTCATTCACCGGATGTCTATCTGATCTGAAACGCTGTAAGTGTATCATTGCAAATCGTCAATCTGATTTGATACCATGAGCATAATGGAAGGTAGACAGTCACCGACTGTCTCTCCGACTTGCCGTTCTGTAAGTGTATCCAAATCAAAACCTACATCTTTTGAGAAGTGTGAAGTCAGTTGCCGATGTGACATCTACGTGGAAGTCACCAGTTCGGATCTACATCAAAGCGATGCTCTTTTGAGTGGATACTGAGCGAGGCCTCGTGACTGTCTCACTTGTTCAATTCGATTTTCATAGGTTCTGAGCCATAGTTGCACACTTTATATGTAAAAGTCCGCTTTAGTCCAGCATGTTTCGTAGTATGAGCCTCATATGAGTCTCGCGGCAAATCATACAATTTCTTTTGTAGCACTTACATCCCTAAATTTTCGTGTGTGATCGGAACATATTGTTGCCGTTCACATGGGGGGGTGCGAATGGAAGTGCAGCGACATGTACAGTGCAACTTGTACATATATATATGTACCATATGTACTTTGGCTCAAGGATCAAGCGACTAGAAAAGGTGCGGTTTCCGTTCCGACGCTACGCCGCTTATGGACCGTCAGTGATAGCTTCAAACTTCGCTGATTAAGATCCACTCGCATATTCCATATACTCCATGCATTCCGATGGACATCTGATTGCGCTGTACAAACAGAAACTTCAACAAATTGTGATTGTTTTGGATCTGGCCGTGATCCTTCCCTCCAATGCTCCTCCCGCCAGGCGCTCAGTTGTCACTCAGTTAACTCTGCGGGGAATCTTGGGCACCTCAGGATGGATTGGGGGACCCCATGGGGTCCGAGTCTCGTTGTTTTCGTTGCAAATGCAAATGTCTTCCAAAAGCACAGGGAACTAACCTTAAGTAGTCGATGTTAATGTCATGTCATATCATGTCATGTCTCTTCATGTCCTCCTAAAATAGTACAGTATAGTACAGTATTTCATGATGTTTGTTGATGTGTGTTTTATCTTGGCAAGCTTGTATGCACACTCGTGCTCGTTGCCATTGCTATATAACAAAACAAATTGTACTAGTTACTAGTTACTAGTGATGGTAGGATATGGTACAGTAGAGGGTAAGATAAGCACTTGTCCAATGCTTGGAATCAGGCACCAGTGTGTGTGTGTGTGTGCCCTGTCAAACGAGAGATGGGAGAGGGATCACTGGTACAGATCAAACGGATGTTCTTTTCGCAGGAAGTGTTCCCGCGCTAAGTCCCTGTCACACAGTGTCACATTGTGATATACTGATATACTGTGATCTGCATGAAGTATTAATTTTGTTTGCCAAGGGCCAGCAGGATCCATGGTGGGTGGGAGGCAATGGAACCCGCACAAACAGTAGCAGGTGTTGTCCATTCAAGGCACATCGGCAGCTTGGTTGTCATATTCGCCACCGTCGCCTGAACATTACGCCAGAGAACTAGTGAGGTCAGGGCTTTGGCGAAACTCAAAAGAACAACTTGTGGAGACCAAAGAAACCTTCAATGAAAAAGATTGTCCAGTGACTATGCTCTGCCATTCGGGACGAAGTCTGGCCAGTTTCCGCCTGGCTACAACGTTATTCTTTGTTTGAATGAGTCGCCACACTGTCTCGGTTTCAACCGTGTCACTGTCAAGGTCTCTTCTTCTTTTCCTTGGCCGCTCTTCCCGTGGCTCAAGCATCTGCTTGCGCCTGCCAGCATTGGTCTGTTCCGCCAAGCTTATCACACATGACACAAAGGGCCAATGGCGTGATCATAATCATCCTCACAAACAAACAGAAACCGGAGCTATATACCTCTGGTGCAAATATTGCTGAACCAGCTACTTCAGGGTGCTGGGAGTGCTGCTGGGTCCGGAATTGTTGTTTAGTGTTGCACGCATGGTAGGCATGATTATTGCATGATTATGCATGCATGTATAGGAGTAGCATGTCCCCAGAGATGCGCCTGGCCTGCGTAAAGGAGCTTCCTCGGGTTTCCTTTTCTTTCCTGAAATCATGTCGCCGTCAAAGACGATACTGTTCATTACCCAGCACTAAAACCATTCCACCATAGGGCGTGGGGTGTGTGCCTGAAAAGGGGGGGCCCAAATCGCCCTGGGCAGTCAGGGGAATAGGCAAACACATTGGTTGAGAAGGTCATCCATTCGTGGACACTGACATACTGACCTAGCATCACCTGGCTGCTGAATGCTGCACCTACAAAGGCCAATCAATTGTGATGCTGCCCCGCAACGACCTTCTGGCGGCGCCAAGGATGCTGGAAACGGGGTCTCCTGGGCAAACACATGTGGAGGTGGACCTACTCGAATTCAAGCAACAAATCAAGCGTATCTCCTCCTCACGCTCGGTCGGCCTTGCAGGACACCAGGGAGGAAAAGAAAGCCGTACTCAGAACCAAACTCTAGACATTCGGCAGGTGATTACTTCAATCCAATAAGTTTCTTTCACCACTCATCTCCTTCCTCCTCTCCGCATTCTAAATAGAAAACCCAACTGTCGGGTGGCCTATATGATGTACAAGCCAGTATTGGCTCCGGGGAAGTGGAGTTCAGGGAGGCGGGCTGGCAATGCCGGCTGGTGAATTTGTTTTGGGTGTAGGACGCAAATCGGATACAATCCAAACCCCCCTTATACCCTTATAAATTAAAGAAAAATGCCAGGTCCACATGTGCTGACCTCTCTCTCTCCCTCGCTGAAGTGCTGTATGATGTAGTCAAGTGTGATAAATGTGACCTGCAACGAGTTGTACTAATAAATACTGATCATGCGATGATTGCACACATTGCGGCGATGTGTAGTGTGGTGGTGTGCGAAGTGGTGAAGTGAAGCATGATGTGGTGATTGCAACGTAGTCATCCATGACATGGGTGCAGTGTGTTGCGGGAAAAGTGGTGTACGGTGATTGTTGACATGTCAAAGTTTCAAAGTGTAATGAGTAATGTTGTGGTTGTGTGGTGGCGAAATTCCATGTCGTCATGCGTGATGTGCCGAAGCTATTGGAACCATCCGGGAATCGCCACCAGCAGTACTCCACAGCTACGGGTAGTGCACGTCCCATCACATCCATTGTCTCTCCGTGGGTCAGCAAGTTAACTCGGCACTCCCAATAGCTTCTTGCTACTAGTAGTGGTGCACCTGTTGCCAATAGCGATGCACTTGTTACTACTAGCTCCCTGCTACGAGTAATACTAGTAGTAGTGCGCTTGTTGCTACCAATCTTCTTTTGATGACTTTATGAATGACCCCCACCAGTTCGGTCTGTCTCTCTCTCTCTCTCTCTCGAGTATACGTCACTCACTGTTCTCTCGGACAGACTCATATATATCTGATTGGAATATAAATCTGTTTGAATGAAACCTAACGCTGACCCAATAAGGATCTGACCGCGTTGCGGCACCTAGGCTCATGACAGAACAATTGCTTGCAAGCTGTTCCAGCCAAAATGCTTCTATATATATATATACATATACAGCCTCAACATTTCTGCAAAGACAATAGCACGGCTGTAAATCACATAATATATGTGTCTGGGATTTTGAAATTGCACAAAAACATTTCTCTCTGTATGCCCGAAACGGCTCTGCAATTCTTTGCAGTTTTGCCCCATCGTGACTTGTAACCATTGCTCTGGCTGCTTCAGCGATGTCTGAGCCAAAGACGACTCTTCGGAGCTGGGTAACCATTGGGCTGCCTGCGAAGTCTGAGTGAGTCCAGCTGTGCTCCCATCTCTGCCCCCCTTCATTTTCCACCAATGCTTCCATCTTTCGCATGCAGCCTAAAGGGCCTAAACGGTCTCCTAAAACATTCCCACAATAAGGTGCAATATGTCCAGCTATTCAACCTGAAGATTTGCTTTCCCCAAAGCAATGCGATTCCCTTCAACATGGCGCTGGCTGTGTGTGCCGGCCTTCCATTCTTGGCCTGGCAGACCAAACACTTGAGGTGACGTGGGATGTCAAACTGGGTGCGGACATGGGCCAAGCCACCACTGCTGCCACCAACAAGTTCAACAAGGTAAGGTAACTTCCCTCGCCGGACCCATCACTGGCGCATACTTTGCATGTTTATATGTTCAATATCAGGCAACATGTAAGTCGGTACCCATGAGTTGTGCATTGGGAGTTCATGCTTCTAACTCTCACACTGCTGCTGGTTCATGTACTGTAATTAATTGTATCTTTAGGAAACTTGGGATGACTTGGGAGGATGCCAACCAGGTACGGTTTGCATGTCCAGTCCCAGTACTGCAGAATGGCGTGGAACACAATGTGAAAACTGCGCCCTTTTCTTCGCTTCCGTCCAAATCAATCCACCTGCGGTGAACTGTGCTGAGCGCACACAGCGCTTGGTTGCCCGCTCTATGGCGTGCCGTCGCGGTTGTGGGCAGGGCCGAGGACATCTCGCTGAGGCCCTCAGTGCTAGATGGAGCAAGCCGTGTTGTGGTCGAGCTGGGTGGGAGCTCAGCTTCACCTGCAGTGTGCGAGATCTGATCTGCCCTCCGAAGGTTCCAATGCATGATTTCCACCTCACAGAAAAACAAAACATCCCATACATTTTACATATATAAGTACATTATTTCATCATCTTAAGAATCCAATACTCTGCATTTGCCGAAGGCTGCCGCGTTTTGAGTTGTTCCAGCCTGATTGTGAGACACGCCCAGTTGCAAGGCCAGCCAGCTGGTTAGACATTGCTGCAAGCGGTCAATGCTCCCAGCGTATCCTGCAGCTGTAAGGGGGCAGGTCTGAGACTAGGGTTTTGTGATTTTGTTTGATCAATACTGTGATCAAAAAACACTTGCTGCGATATACTGCGTCTCACCGTCTCAACCCTGCAACCCCTTGCGAGCACACAAACCGAGAGCTTGTAGGCAATGCACTAACTAGTTTCCACGACAAGAGTTCATCAGCAAATGGGTCTCCTTCAAATGCCACCTCTGCAGGGAATCGTGTCAAGCCCTTGAGCTGCAAAAAGGGATTGGGTTCACCTCCAGATTTGACTCGCTGGTCCTTAATTACTGCGGGGCCAATCTGTTATTATCTCCCATCTTCTGACTCACTTCATCTCACTTCTGTTCTGCTCAGTTCATGAGCTTGAAAAGTTGGAAGTTTGATGATGTTGTCGCCGACAAGTCACGGACCCTCCCCCCACCAAAGAGCAGGTTTTCAGCTATCAGTTCTATGTTCGATCATCCCACATGAAGATGGTATGCTCGGGAGGGCAAAGTGACACGCGGGGGGGCGTGCAACTTGAGCCAACACGACACGGTATACCGTACGCACCCATCTCGCGGCCACAGACATGAGACAGCAGTGAAATTCCCCCCCAGCTGGAACCTGGGCAAAGCAGTATCTTCGCTCCGCCTTATGCACGGGTTTCAGCCAAAAGTCCGCAACACCAGTAATGAACACCGACACATGCTGTCGCGCCTGTGCCACATCCATGAGTTCTGAGGCCCAATGACTGCATCTGCAATTCTCGCCAATACACTTTTGTGCGTCCAGTTGGACCATCCTGGCCCTGTTCTTCAATACGAACTGCCCCGTGACAACATTGACCCGCTTCTTGATGCAAGCCAACTTGGAGAGTATCGGCTGGACGTCAGGCAGCGCTATAAGCTTCTCACTCCGGCCGTGGGCGTAGCTGGCAGTCGCTTTTGCTCTTAAGGGGTGAATTTCCCTTCTCTTGCCTTTTTCTGGTCCTCAACTCAGAAAATTCTCAAACCATATACTTCAGGGCGTGAGGCTGCTCTCAGGAGCCGCGGTCCTCTTGCCCCTCCACGCGTAGGCGTGCAAGCACTACATGGTGGAGAGGTCATTGATCATGAAACTGCCATACTTTGGCAAATTCCGTTTCTCCTCAACTAAAAGTCCTTTTCGAGGAGGCGATGCATCTCATCAAATTGGTTATTCCTTGTCCATGCACGTGCAGTGCCAGCCATGGTCGCTAAGGGTCTTGTTCCCTGCATGGCCAAATGTATACATACGACATCGTGCCACACTCACTGCTGTCAACTGTAGCTACAAGTGCAATGTTTGCGACCGAATTCTGACCTGAGCCTCACCTGCAGCCGTGCGAGTGTTTCGTCAGTAGGGAGGCGACCTCTTCGCCCCTTTTCCTTGAATGCGCACGCCTGCACTGACCCGCCACATGTTCCTTTGCTGTCCTCCGCGTGAAGCTTGTGTCCAAGCGACTTCAACCCCTGGCCGCCAACTGGGGTCATCCTCTAAGGATTTCCCAAGCCAGCCTGTGGCTTTGGCGCCTCCATCGGAGGTAGTTGTTCTTGACACTGCAAGAGTTCATTTAAAGCCTTTTCTGCCGGCGCCCACACTTTTTTTCACCAAAGCGGTCATGGAACCTCTCAGTCAGATTCCTGATGATTATCTGATTCCTGCACCTCATGAGAAGGTTCCCCAAGTCGACCGCGCCCAGTAGAATCTAAGACATGATGAATCCTGAAGTACTGCGGATGCTCAGCCAAAGGGCGATGTTACAGGGACCGTAAATTTTCTGAGCCTTGACAGCGCCAGCCCCGCCAAGCATCACTCCCGACAGTTTCACCTTCTTCACCATCCTCAACCCAAATAGGCCAAAGATAGCGAAGCCAGCGTATGGAACGGACCCTGTAGCTGTGATCCGTTGGTTCCAACTCCTTTGGTGGCCTCTCACCCTTCCCATCATTTTCCATCAACATGCTCAAGTCTCGCAAGTGCCTTGAAGATTTCCTTCTCATCTGCGAGCAGCAATGCAATGCCGTCAACTTGGGGAATGATAGAGCTCAGCAGTTCCAACTGTCAACGTGGGCAGGGTGCTTGCTGATCCTCCAGGTGGGACCTTTCAAGACACTTTGAAACCTGAAGGGATGCGAATGACTCTCGTCCCTTCCTTTGCCGGTGCAGTGGCAAATGCACAGCACTGCCGTTGTGAGCAGCAGCATGACCAGGGTGCACAGGAGGTCGAACAAATTGTGTCGCGCCCCTACGTATGTACCCACCACCTGTACAGTGGTGGGTACCAAGTCCATCAACTCCCCACCCCCAGCCCCAGCAACCAGAGTCGGGGAAATGACAAATGGGGTGGGTGTGCCCTTGAGCCAAAATGACGTAGTAATTATACTGGATCCACCCATGATGAAGAACACCATGCCGATGCTACTTCTACAATGAATTGTTACATCCAACAACAACTAACTAATTACTTTTTGGGGGGTGAAGATGTCCAGGCTCGGATGAGTTTGATGCCACCGATGCCAGTGTCCAGCCGCGACAGCGAAAGTTCGGCAGGTGCTCAGCCAACGCCACCTGCCCTGAGGAAGTCACCTCCAGTGCTCCAAGCAAACGATCACGCATGGCAGCGTCTGGCAAATGTAGGTGGCGCCGCTCGTGTGGCGCTTGCAGCCCCAACAAAAGCTGGAGTGAACGCTCTGTCTGTGTGGACATGTTGCTTAGCCTTTCGGCCGGCTCCTGTCAATGAGCTGGACCGCAAGAAATTGAATGTACAGTAAACTTTGTTTGAGGACTAAGCGCCAAAAATACAAAGGTGGAGGTCACTTTGAACAACTTTTGCCAATTTTTGTCAAATCCTTACCTATCTTATCTTACCTCAAAACCAACGATGTCAGTCTACACAGTACTTGAACCCTAATTTTGCGGCTGTCGGTAGGCCTAACTATGAAACATGGCAACCTTTATCTGCAACGTTCGCTAGTGTGTTTCGAACGAACGCCAGTTCGCATTCGACTCCTCTACTGGACAGGGCTTGGCATCAGGCGGCCTGTGACAAGCACAGCTGCCTCCGTCAGGCTCGCAGTCCTCGAAGTCTTCCGCGTGGGCCTTGCACTCCTTGGGTGGCGGAAAATGTGATGCCCTTTGCTCCTAGTAGCGTCCTTGCTCCTAGTAGCGATGCCCTTTGTTCCTAGTAGCGTCCTCTACTCTCCAGGTTCGCAGCAGTTCTTTGGCTTTGGCTTTGGCTTTGGCTTTGTCCCCCTTTGTCTCATCCAGTTCTCCAGGTGCAAGCTAGCATCGGCGTGCAGGAATTCCCCGGCTTCGTTCTTCCATTCTCGAAGTCTCCAACGATGTCCTACATCACACATAGCAGAACATCCCGACCAGTCCGCCCACGGGCCCAAATGTCTTTGGCATTCGCTTGGACAAGGCACCTCGGTTGCACAGGTCACGACACATCAGCGGGGTCATTTCATGCAATGCCCAAAAACAGAAGCTAAAAGCAAAGATCCTTGACAATGATTCATGATAAAGCACCGTCCGAGCACATGTAGTGGACTCCACCAATGGTGGGCATGTGCCAAGCAGTCCAGGTGAACGGGTGATGTCACGATATCTGGATGCTGTGGGCCCGGGGCCGCACACATCATCACCTGGAGACCAAAACCTATCCTACTAGCCCTGCACAAAGCACATCCAGAGAATGTAAAGAGCATCCAAACACATGTCTCTGGCTACTGGAACTACAATGGCCATCACAAACCATGTCCTCAACCAGTACAAATTGTTGGAGCAACGGCCACGGTCACATCCCTGCCATGCTTTCCAAGGGCCCACACGGCAGCTTTCATCGGGACACAGCACCAAAGGATCGCAATGACGGCGCTGAGATTCAAGGATCTCTTGCCCACAGCTTGAGTGCGAACGTGTCCCTTGACTGATTTCAGTGCAGTGCTTTAGAACCTGCAAACTATGGCAGCTTTTTGGCCAATGCAACATAAGGGCCGCGTCATGCTGAAGCCAACGTTTTCACTAAGAAGCAAATGCTCTGGTAGGTTGCCACAACGGATCGGGAAAGTGAAAATGAAAAGGACATATTAAATACAAATACTTCTCAAGTGCAACGAATTGCGGGCTTGATGTCCTTCACAAGTGGTTGAGCAAGAGGACCAAGAATCCCAATCTCCAAGATCTGTGGCACACTTGGCTTGTTTGTGCTTGATTTCCTGGTACACTGTAGCAATCAAGAAAAGCAATCCTGACGATAGTCCGAAGAGACCGGCCCATCTCAGCATTGCAAGATGTCCATCACTCATCTGACTGATCCGTAACTGTTGGGCAGCTTCATCCTTGATCAAAGGCTCTATCTCAGCAAAGGCTCCCGGAGAGTGATCTCCAGCACCTAATCACAACAGCAGGAAACATGTGAGCGGGTGGAAGCCCGCAAAAAATCAAAAAAAATACTTCAGTTTAGTTCAATAGTCTTACATAGTTTTACTTGATCCATATGCTATGCATCATGCACGCATGTTTATGTAAATAATATATCCACATATATATATATATACACATATGTGCGTGTGCGTGTGGTGGTAACAGTGCTTTGAAGCAATGGCACCTACAGAAAGCCCATGGGAGCTCCATGTCACATCCGATGCCTTTGAGGCACTGTGTTCTTCCATGTCTGCGATTCGGATCCCAAAGTCTACTCTGTCAGATACGCTGAGTGTCTGGCCAGGCGTTGACATCGCGGCATCGCTGCTCGTCATCCACCTCTCACTGTTTGACACCGGTTGGCTGCTTTCCTTAGCTTTGTTTCAGAAAGTGGCTGACCAACCAGAACCGCATTCTTGGCGGCATCGCATGGATGCTGTACAAGGCCACACTGGGAGAACTTCGGGAGGGCCACAAAAAGGCAATCAAAAAGCGGTAAAAGTCTTTGAAGCACATTCTTTGAGGACGACAGATTCTATAGACTCAATCGATGCATGGCTTTGATGGCCATCCGGGTCAACCAGGTCGACATCGCCGTGTTCAACTTTCATCTTTTCTGCCGTGTCCAATGGCGGGACAGGGACACCATCAGCAACAAAGGATGAAACGAACAAGCTCCATCTTGCGATCTTGTTCGAACTCCTTGAGTGGATGTAACTGACTTGATATGTTGAGTTGGAATATGTTGGAATTGTAATTCTACAGTCGTGGCGTGCTCTATTTTAGTGCTGGCGTGCTCTATTTTAGTGCATAACAATGCATAACAGCCGTCCCTTTGGTACGTTTGGAAGGGCGAAAGGTGCCCAACTTCCGATACGATTTCGAGCACTCACCTGAGGAAGAGGACGCAAAGAAAGACTGGAGGCTATGGGTTCATGGAAAATGTTTGAGCATCTTGGGCACCTTCTTCCACGCTTATCCAGCACTTATGCAAATATGTTTGGATGACGATGAGTCAGTGGCGGTTCGCGAAATGGCCCTGGACCCGACGGTCTTGCCTTCGCACTGTGCCCTGCAAGCAGAATTCAGGAAGCACAGGACGCGCAGGGAATTGAAGGTACCCGCGGTGTACCAATTATATATAAATCTGCACACAATCGTCTTTTTCAAAGTCTTTGTGGTTGTAGATGTTGTAGACTTGAGGTTTTGTTGGGAAAGATTTGGGGAGGATACCCTTGGGCTAAAATGACAAAGCAGGAGCTGGACAGATCTGGCGAATTGCTGGAACCTGCATGCAAAATGGAGTCCGGACGTCCGGACATCACGAAACATCATGTTTTGTCAGCCCCTCGGAAGGCTCAGCAGGTGAAGGTTGCTAAATATTGCTAAACTATGCAATACTATGCATATCTACACAGTTCTACACATTGAACATCCCCTGCAGCCCCTGCACTGGCCCAGCACCAATCTTCCAGCCTTCAAGAGTCCGCTTGTGCATTTCAACTGGCCTCTGGCATGAGGACGTGAAGCAAGGCAAGGAAAGCAAGCAAACACTGTACAGTGCCTATCTGATCGCCGTGACCAGCAACATGACCAACGAATCGAACCATAGGAAATGTGATCATGTGATCGTTGTTCCTTTTGGCAAGTTATATATACAGTATATATATTGACCTGCTGGGGTGCAACTGCCAAGCCAGCCAAACAGCTGAAGAACTGGGCTACCCGTGCTCATTCACCTGAACACAAACACATGAGAGTCATAGCAGTGCAAATGCCCTATGTCTCGACTCAATTACCTTGGGGCACCTGCACCAAATCACGGTGAACATCATTGTGACTCAAGCGAAAGAATGCGACTTTTGCTTCATGTGAGTGGACGCAAGAATCAGAAAATTTGACAATCAAAGGGCCCTTCAGTTTCAGAGCTCTCATTGCCATGGCGAACTGAGATTCAGGTGGCCTTTGTCTTCTTCACCGCCTGTATCGTTTCCTGGGAGGCTCCAAAGAATCGGAGCAACTGTGGCGCAGTGAGCGCCATCTGCGCCATGATGCTGTACTTGATGATCCGGCCAAGCAAAATGGCCAGCAAAATCGTTGCGTCGCTCATCTTGGAGAGCTTCCCGAAGAAGATCAACGGGTGAAGGATGATGGGCATGGCAGACACGGGCACTGCGGCAATGGAGCCATATGATTGCATCATTCCTTCGGTCCAAGACCACCATTTGCTAGTGAAGGTGGCCGGGAACGACTCCTGTATGTCAAGTTGCTGTGCCAAACATTTGTGACACTTGGTAAATATAGCCCCCCCCAGGTGCTTTTTAGCAGAATTGGTCAAAACTTGTTTCAAGTTCAAGCCCAAATCTGTGTAAATATAGGCTCCTTGATGAAGTCCATGCCCCGCTCTTCCATGAGAATGATGAGCACTAAGCAGCCCAGCACCGTGCCAACTGCATTGGCAATGGCTGTGTACAGCCATCCTTGGCAAAACGTCGGGGGGATAAAGTTGTGCAGATTGGGGCCACTGATGCGCGTAGATTTGCACAAAAGGGTCTACAAGTTTTTGGGCATGTCAAGTTAAAATAATGGGTTCATGTAAAAACACCTTCAAACTCTGCGCCCAAACGAGCAGCTCTTAGGGTTTGCCAGCACAGCTGAGCAGTAGAGGATCACCAAAGGTGCTGACATGACCAGCAGGAAAAGGTTGGCCCCTGACAAAATACCAACCAAAATCGGGAACCATGGTGCTGCTGCGAAGGCCTTTAGCTTCACTAAGCTATCTTTCAAGGCCATCTGACGCGAGATTCTCGCGACGGGGATTTACGATCCAAATGGCTGCAGGACAAGGAATGGAGAACCGTCAAAGTCTAACGTCTAACTTCTTAGCATCGAAATGGACGTTGGACCATCCTTTCTGCGCAGTCTCTTTCAGGTCGCTCCTGCAAAACACACCAGGAAAGCAACTTGGCCAATCCAGCCTTCCTGACGTTGGCCAAGGGAGCTCCTCGCACTGAAAGCACGCGGAGGCCACACTCACCCCCCTGAGGACTGCTTCCCTAGGAGCATCCAACCAAAAAGCACCTTCACAAGCAACAGCTCACACATTCGGCATCAGCACCATCACCGTCAGCTATATGATACAATCGACAATAGACAAATAGCACGCAAACAGCTGAGGTACAAAAGACATCAACCACTAAAAGGTCTTGGAGGACGTTGTTAGTTGCTTCGAGATCCCTTCGCCACGTAACCTTGCAACGGCTTGGTTGCCGGCCCCTACTTATTGGCCCACACTTCACAGTCCTCTCTTGATGTCAAGATCGCAGCTCTGCCTTGCCCAGCACAGTCTGAGCACCTGCACAAACAGAAGCAACATTGATCTAATTTCATCAAATCCGAACCCAGGAATCACCACAGAATACTTGTACGTGACGCGGATTTGATGCCAGTCCTTTGCTATGTAGAGTGAACATCGCTTCTGCTCTTCTGGTTTGCGTTCTCGTTGTTCACACACAGCTTCCTTCGCTTGTTCCTAACAACATGTCCAGCATGTTCTGCTGACCCGCCCTCCACCTTGGCAGGAAGCCATGCCCTCAGAACAGCAGGCATCAAAAAAACGACAAGTGTGGGCATGGTCTTCCCAATTGCGACGATGCTGCGAAAAACAGGGGAACGTTGGCAGTGTAATTCATCCACAGCAACTGCAATCGGTGTATGGTCAATTTACGTCAAGGGACTTGGAGGTGGTAGACCAGTATTCCACCTGATCTCCAACAGCAAAACGGCTGAGCCGTAGCCGGCTAGCAGGCAACATCCGCAGAATGGACCCGCCACAATCCTCGGCCAAAATCACAGAAGTGGGGTTGATGTTTATGAATGTGACTTTCAGGCCTTCAGGCCATGTGTGCAATTGGCGGTCGGGGCTTTTGTATGACACAAACTTACACAGTGCAGTCGCCATTTTATGACAAGGCTCCACGTCGAACACGATGATCTTATTTTGCCTTCGGAACTTGCTTGGTCCCAGCTTTGACGAACCCAGCCACCCTCGTCTGCATATATGACTGACTTTGCAAGGGGGGCATGTCACCCATCATTTCAGAACTATACAATTGCAAATGAATAACAAGAATCCTCTTCGTGGTGCTGTCAGAAGGCTGAGTGCCAGCTCTTTTTTGTGGACTACGTAGGAAGTAGAGCAGAGCAAAGCCATGACAACTGTTATCAGTTATCTGGCCATCCCAGTGGCATTGGCGAATGCCATTAACTAGCTTTGATAAAGCTTCCACAAAAGCAACCCGTGCTCGGCAAATCCACACTGTCAAACACCCCTGAACTTCTTTTTGGTGGAGGGTCGCGGTTTTGCAATGAAACAGATTGTTCAATTATAATCAAGAATATACCTGCTAAGCACCACAAAACATCATAAAATGTAATTAGTTCCTAATTTGGGTGGTGGCTGGGCCATGCTTCTAAGTTTGAGTGACCAGCTCTTCCTGTCGCCAAGTTGCTGATAGCGACGACAAACCTCAAATGGTGCTGCGTGTTCTGAAAAAGTTGTCAAACATATTTGCGACAAACTACAATTACCAAACCCAAGGTGGAGGAAAAATTGAGCAAATCGGGGACCGTTCATCTTGAGCACGTGAATGCTCACTGCAACAATCGCAAGAAAGAAGGAGAAGACATGAGAAAACATAAATTAAAAAATAACTATATATATAGGACAATATCAGCTTCCTCCGGGCAGCAATGCCGTCCTCCCAAGTCTTTTTCACCTGGTTGAAGCATTGCACAGGCATCCCAACTGCAAAGCTACCTGCGCAGCAACCCCTTGACAGTCAGCCTTCACAAAATGTCATGAGATGACGGTGAGAACAACAGGTGCATTGCATCAGTGATGTCAGTATTAGGCTGATCTTTGGTTTAGCCCGTATGCGGCCGCACAATCTCCAACACACCCGAATAATACCCAATCAAATTCACTAGCTCAGCCCACATGCTGTCACTCTGACAACGGAGCCTGCCCGAGTCAACGCCGCGCAAACTCTGCGGAACTCCGCTGGGACAATCCAGCGGTGACTACGTTGACAGCTTCGCGCCTCCAGGGCTTTCAGACACGTCAGGCGGCGCATCAAGGGGCTCCTCCAAGTGTCGCATCTGCCAAGACCTGACGCGTGACAGAAATTACACCTTACAGCCACGACTTTGCTTATCGCATACATATGCTCACTAAGTACAAGTCTCCGCCTTGACAGCTGGCAGCTGGCTGTACGCTGTACAGCTGTGTCAACCACCAAGCCCCTCTTTTCTGTTCATCTTTTCCGCAGTGATCAAGATTCTGCTGTCTGTCCAACAATAAGCCGAGCTTCTCAACCCGCGACTTGCAATCCAAGTTGTAGGTCAAGGTCTTGCCATCTGGCAGGGATGACTTCTTTGGCGGGGATGCATTCGTCCAACGATGGACTGAAAGGATGGTCCCTGAACAAAGCACCAAACAAAGTGCCTCGCATGACAACCCTGCGAGAGCAAAGTCATGTTCGACTCCGAGACTCCTGAGTACTTCCACGTCGGCATTTGGGCGATCTACCAGGCTTCAAGAATCGCAAGGCCGACGGAGGAAAAGCAGGCCATGGGGCATAAACACAATCCCAAACCAGCCAAGTCCCGCGAACCCCTTGGCATCCCTTGGACATGTTCTTGCCTTGATCCGTGTTCAAAGACAGCACATTGCATTTCAGCCAAGTTCGATGCGTCGTACCTGATCGCAAACTATTGCAAACTCATACGGGTACTTGCTGCTACTGCTACTACTTCAGGAAACGGACAGGTTTATAAATCATATAAATCTATGATTGTCACTCCCTTCACTCACATACACTCTCCAGAAATGGGTCGGGGTACAGTTCAAAGCCACAGGGTTCTGGTGATACGGCCATTACTGTTTGCAGACGAAAAAGCGCTAAAAAGTCAAAAAAGCGTGACTTAGCCGTAACTCGTCTACATGAAAGCTTCAATGCTTGCATCCAAACTCGCATTCCTGCACAACGCAGGGGGTCTAAACCAACACAGGTCAGGTGGAGAACATGCAGCCCAATGGCCACTTGAAACAATCTTCTGGCAAACGTTCATCCTCATACGAAAGTCCTCCACCCCACTGTAAGGCCAAAGGACTCCAGTAGAAAGCACCATCCCCGGCAGCGAAGACACGCTTGCCTCAACGCCGGTAGAGGCCGCTCTCACCACGTTGTGACTCAACTCCGACCACATCACCAGACCCATCGCCACACAGCAACGACCCATCGTCCCAACTGAGCACCTTCCCGGTTTGGCCGAAAGGAGCTCGCACTGCCTTGGTGAGGGTGGTACCAATGGGTACCCTGTTTGTAGCAGTTGACATTTCTTGACATTTGATTGAGAAAAAAAAAACAACAGTTCTAGGCGATGCTTCTTTGGGTGATCTACGCTCGACTCTGCACTATAGCTGTAATGAGGGTGACAAGTATGTAGTGATAGCAACACCTCCCACAAAATCAAAAAGTCGTACATTCTAGATTGGTGTGTGGTCGAAATATGACCTTCCAAACTAAAATTCATGCGGATTCAATGTTATACAATGTTAATGTGTTCACGCATCTGCCACTTGTTTAACGCCTGTGCGAGTAAAACTGCGAGAATGCTGACCAAAAGCCGACCATTCCTGCGCTTCATGTGTGCTCTTGGATAATAGATGATACATGATGATACAGTAATAGGAGCAGCTGTCACACTCCGTGGCCAAGCTGCTAGTGGCCCGTGGCATTGCTGGCACCTCCAACGCTCCGTCGCCTCAGCCGCATGACACGGATTCTGGCCGCCATGTGCTGCTGGGTTTGACAACAGTTTCGGCTAGCGAGCTGTGACCTGCAGCAACCTGCAAGTGCCAACAAGTGCTGCTCTTGGTCAAGGCATCACTGGCACGCAAGGCAGTCTAAAATTGAAAGCTGGTGGCTGTGGACTTGTGCGGCGGCTGCACCTGGAGCATTCGCCGTGCCTGGGCTCAAAGTACTCGCTGGCTCAGATCATGCACAACGACGTCCCAAGAGACACTATATAAAATGCATTCACATGCAACCCAAACCCGGTTCTCTGAACGCTCACCTGAATCGCCAAATCGCCATCATATTTTCCTAGCTCATGAGTGCTCATGTGGCCAGTTGGCATGCATGCGGCTTCAGCTCTGATTGAGCCGGCCTAGCAGCCTAGCAGTTATGGGAACTGGTGGTTCGGATAGGTGCCCATGCTTTAGAAAACCGTACTTTTGGCAGATCTTCAGTTCCAGATGTTCCAGGGAACCTGGCCAGGCCTGCTAGGAGTCTTTGTAGGTCTGAGAGGAAGGACGGTGAAACATGCAAGTGCCCCTATTTGGCCTTGCCAGTGGTGGTCTGCATGTGGTTGGGCAAAGTTGACAGCTAAAGCAGCACAAACGAGCACCGGACAATGGCAAAAAAGCCTTTTGAGTCAGACTCTGCCACAACCACTGCTGCAAAACGCCTTTGCCATGCTCTGCTCTCTTCATCAGTTTGATCTTCCCCCACCTGCGTTCAAAGTCTGGTGGAATCGCGACGCTCCTCGCACACCTAGCATTGAATTATTTGTGATCTTCCCCCAGCTGCTTCAAATTCTCTTACTGACCCACTTTCCCACAAGAAGCAACAAGAACAAGAACCAGAACCAGAACCAGAACCAGAACAACAACAACAACAACTACTACTACTACTACGACGACCACGACCACGACCACGACCACGACCACAACCACGACCACAACGACAACGACAACGACGACAACAACAAC